GTATAAAGTTCCTCATTTTCTCCAATTTTGTGATAACTTAATAAGGTACGCTCATTTACCCTTTTGATTCTATTATTATTTGGTATTTCATAATCATATACACCATCCAAAAATCTTAGATCTATCAGAACACATAATCATATACACCATCCAAAAATCTTAGATCTATCAGAACTGTGTTATGTAGAGAGCATTTGTAGTAGTCCTAGCACACTTACTCCTTCCATTAAGGAGCTGCCACTTGTAGAAAAAACCAAATTTCTCTCTCCTCCACAAAAGCAAGTCAGAAAATACTTAATTTTCATTGGCTTGAACCACTGAATCATACAAGAGCCTGGAGCATATTAAATATTTCCTTTATATGGCCTTGAACCGGAAATCTAGGATTCTTTTCACTACTAATTGACCCCAAATTGCATAGCCATAGACCACACGCCAGAGTCTACTAACGACATACCCTCAGATTTTCAGTTACACATGACGACATTGAACAACAATGGTTCCCCACCCCAACCAAAATTGAGATTTATTAATATATTTTTATTTTTTTATTGTGTTGGTTGTTTTTCTGTTTTAGTGAGAGGTGTGTATTTCCGTGCCTTATGCTTGCATGTGTACTTTCTGTTAGGAAGTTTGTTTTTGGCCTTTCTGTTTTGGCTATTAGTTACTGATATATACTCTTGGCATTGTATTACTCTTTTTAACTATCAATCAAAAGAGGATTCAGTTTTCTTCTTCTTCACGTTTATGCTTTTCTGAAACTAATATGGTATCAGATGTTTTCTTCTAGCCCTTGCTTCTCTCATGGCTTGCCACAATAACAGCATTGCCCGTCCATCTCCGACTGAAGCCTCATCTGGATCCTCTGCATCTATGGACGATTCGTCTAGTCTTTACTTTTGCAGAGTGGTGATCATTCGGGTTTGGTTCTTGTTACCCATACCCTTTTCTGGATCTAATTTTAATTCATGGATTCGAGCAATGACTCTTGCTCTGACTGCCAAGAATAAGTTGGCGTTCATGGATGGTTCTTTACTTCGACCTTCGTCTACTGATCTTCTTTTTTTAGCTTGGAATCGATGTAATTCCATGGTCATTTCGTGGTTGTTGAATTCTATTGCCAAGGATATAGCTGATAGTCTTTTATATTTTTCAAATGCTTATGAAGTTTGGTCCGATTTGAAGACTCGATATTCGCAGGCAAATGGATCTAGAACTTTTCAATTGAAGCAGCAAATTTCTTCTCTATGTTAGGGTTCCCTTGATATCACCAGTTATTACACTAAATTGAAGTCTCTTTAAGACGAGCTTCATGATTATCTTCTTCTTCCGCGATGCACTTGTGGTACTCTTTGCCAGATGATTTCCAAAAATGACCAAGATCATATTATACAGTTCTTAATTGGACTAAATGATTCATTCTCTGCTTCCGTGCTCAGATTTTACTGCTTGATCCATTGCCTTCTCTTGCAAAGGTTTTCTCCATGATCCTTCAAGAGGAGCGCCAGCGTCAACTCTCAGTGTCTTTATCAGTTCCTGTTGTTCCGGATACTCCATTGATGCATTAAATTACTAATTCTTCTCCGGCATCCATGGCCATCGCTGCTCAACGCCATCCACGCCCAATGTGCACCTACTGCCATTTATCTGGTCATACACGTGAGAAGTGCTTCAAACTTCACGGGTATCCACCGGGTTACAAACCTAAGTCTCCCAGACCCATTAACTATTCACCCTCACCTCATGCCCATTCACTTCAATCGGTCCATTGCATGACCCGTGATCCACAATCCACACCCAAACCTACTACCAAATTTCACCCTGAAATACCTTCAAAACCTAATCTCTCTGCTGCAAATGCTCCCCTTGCCTTCACACCCACACAGTATAATCATTTGTTTTCTCTTCCACATCAGAGTTTTGTGTCATCTTCGGTTTCTCCTTCTGTTGCTGAAACGTCCCCTTCCGTGGCGAGTTTTAGTGGTAAGCCTTCATTTCCTTTTCCTTCGTCTTGTTGGATACTCGATACTGGTGCGATGTAATGTCCCACATCGGTTGGAGAGGGGAACGAAGCATGCCTTAAATAAGGGTGTGGATACCTTTCCTTGTATGAGGCCTTTTGGGGGTAACCCGAAACGTAAAACCATGAGCTCGACGGTGCTTGTGCGCGAGGCAAAGCGGACAATATCCTGCAACAGGGTTTGGGGCTGTTACATTTGGTATCAGAGCCTGGCCCTAGACCGGTGTGTACAGCGGGGACGCTATATTCCCAATGGGGGAGGATGTAATGTCCCACATCAGTTGGAGAGGGGAACGAAGCATGCCTTAAATAAGGGTGTGGATACCTTTCCTTGTAGGAGGCCTTTTGGGGGTAACCCGAAACGTAAAACCGTCAGCTCGACGGTGCTTGTGCGCGGGGCAAAGTGGACAATATCATGCAACAGGGTTTGGGGCTGTTACACTACGCACCATGTGTGTATCACTACTGACTTGTTTCGATATTCTTCTCCTGCAAGTTCATCTTTTGTTCTTCCTAATGGATCTTCGGTCGTTGTCTCTGCTGTTGATTCTGTGCTTTTGTCTGCCTCTCTTTATCTTCTTAATGTTCGCTCTGTTCCTACTTTTTTCTTCAACCTTTTGTCGATAGGTGTATTAACCAGAGACTCCCCTGTCATTGCTAATTTTTCCTCCTCTTATTGTTTTCTTCAGGACCGTGTTTCGGCTCAAATGATTGGGATTGCTAAACGATGTGGCGATCTCTATATTTTGGATAGTAAATGTCTTCTTCCCGTTGTTGACATTTCCCATCCCCTATGTTTTTCCCTAAATGTTCAAGACCTTATACTATGGCACTCTCGACTTGGTCATCTCTCTAGAAATGTTTTAAATTAATGAAATGTTCTTTAGGATTTTCTGATAACTTGCATGTTTGTCATCATTGTTCCATATGTCCCCTAGCCAAGAAAAATGGCTTCCCTTCATTTTAAACCCCACACTTTCTGCATCTCCATTTGATTTACTGCATTTTGATATTAACTGAACATCATTGGCAAAGATGAATTAACTGAACATGATCTTCACCAAGTCTAAAAATGTTTGATTTTTGCATACTGCAACTTCATTCAAGTAACGCGTTCTTAGAGTTGACAGTTACGAAAACTATCCCCTCTTAAGTCAGGTAAGACTTGGACTTACCAGACAGGTAGCCAACACTTTAGCCAGACCAAAGTGTTTTGATTTGAACATCTACATGCTTTTCTGCCTCAGAATTAAACCTCTTTGAAATTTCCAAAAGCGTTAGACTTATGGTGCCCTTGGTTTATCTGTCCAAATCCAGAGTAAACATTCATATAATGAAGTACTCATCACCTCTTCTGGTTTGAACGCTAATTGGTCCACATACATTAGTATGTACCAGTTCCAATTGAATAGTTGCACAAATCATGTTGGCCCCTTGTATGATTGCTTGGCCATTTTACCTTCCAAATAGGACTAACATGTAGCTTTTAGTTTAAAAGATTCTTGAACTTTCAGTCCCTCTTTTAACTAAAACATGTTTCCTACTTGAGGTAATGTGACTCAATCACAAAAGTCAAAGTTATGTTTCATTTGAAATTTTTATTTCTTTGGTAAAAGTTCTTGTTTATCATCCTTTCCATTCAATATAATAAATTTAGGGGTATAGAATAAAGGTAATAAAGACTATTTAAACAATGTACCTGATAAACCCCTAGTTCATCAGGTTTTCAGCATGAATTAGTATCAATTTGTGTGATTAATTGGATGAAAAAGAGGTTAATGTCCTGGAAATCTCTCAAGTACAAGTTTTGAAAGCCTTGTTGAAAATTTACACTGTCTTGTAGGGAAATGAAGCTCAAGAAGCAGCAGAGAGAAGGAAGAAGATTCTGAAGAAAGGGAGAGTGCCTAAGTGTTGAGCGCTAAAACGTTCACACAGAACGTTTTAGCGCGCTGCTGCAATCTGAGGACAAAAGTTGCTAGTCTTGGGCGCTAAAACGTCCAACATTAACGTTTTAGCGCGCTGCTGCAATCTGAGGACAAAAGTTGCTGGTCTTGGGCGCTAAAATGTCCAACATTAACGTTTTAGCGCTCTGCTGTTAGAAAAATTCTCTGGTCTCGAACGCTAAAATGCCCAAGTCAAACGTTGTAGCGTTGGAATCAGTTAAAAGCAGTTGGGCATCCGTCAAACATAGACGCTAAAACGCCCATTAATGAACGTTTTAGCGCGCCCATGTTAGTTTTCAGTTGTAATTTGTAACACTATAAAAGGCAAGGGCCTTCACATTCTGATATATCATCCATCCTATCTATCTCTCCTCTCAGATCCTCTGATCTGATTTCTCTCTCTTACTTTCCAAATTCTTAGGAGTAGTTTTGTAATAGTTAGTACATCTTATGTAATTTTACTTGAAGATTGAAGACTCAACCATCATGACAATGGAGTTTGATCTTTCTTCTTTTCTTGTTTGTATTTCAATTATGTCTTAGTAGAGTCCTTTGTAGTCTGATTCAATGGAACTCAAGTGTGAATTTATGAATGGTTAATTAGATATTTTGTTTATCTTTTATGTGATTGTATAAAGTTGTCTTGATTAATTCTTCATGTTAAAGGAATAGTGTAGAACAGACATGTTTACATTGTTTCTATTTTTGACAACTTCATCATCAGTGTTCTAGTAGTCAAGACATTGATGCTAGGATTCTGATGTGATCTTAAGATCTTAGTAATTAATGCATGTATTAAGAAGGGAATCACCAAGACATTGGGGTTTCTTATTAATGTATCAATCAGGGTAGTAAGACATTACATCTTGATGATAAGAAAAAGGTTGATCAACACACTACAAAAAAACCAACGATTAAGGACATCGACTTCCCCACATTTGTATCACATGTGGCAAATTTAGTAAAGAAGCTACCTCTTACACGGGCTTAAGTAACGGAGCCCAAACCCTCCTTCCATAAAAATTTTTTCATCTCCCAAATTTCATGCTCTAACAAACCCCTTCTGTAATCCTTTTTTCCCATTAGCTTTCAGACCTTATCAAATCTCTTACAATCTAGGTTAGTAGAGTTTCATTTACTTCTTTTGATTAATTGATCTTCTCCATTTTGGTTTATGATCATGTTTGCTTGGTCAGATCAGAATACAAGATAAAATGAAGATAATTTTTTATTTTAGGTTTTTTTTAGTGCTAGTTTCTCTAATTTTTTGTTTTATTTTAGAATTGGATCATTTTTATTTTGCTTTTTATTGAATTTTGTATAGTGATTGTTCGTTGGGAGTTAATGATGTGGTTTTAAGTCCAAAATTGTTCGGCGAAGCTATTGGAATCTTGTTGCAGTAAGATCTCAACTACACAATTGCATTCACAGTGTTTGAGTGGGCCTTGCCCATAATAGTTTCATTGTGGCCGAGCTTAACATTCTTTGTACTAAATATGCATTAATCAGCCATGCATATAAGGTGTTTGAAGAAACTCCTCATAAAAGTTAAAAGACACATTTACCGTATGCTTTCTTTGTCTTCTCTTGCGACATATACTCGTTTAGTTTGATGTTTCTTGGTGAATGTGTTCCCTGCAGTTCTCTTTAAGTATAGCATGAAGTTTATTTATAAACCCAACACTTTCATCTTGTTTTGTTTTATTTTTAAAGTAGAGCAAAGCATATATGCGCTGTTACGGACAAGAGATAAGGGAATTTCACGGTACAGGGAGTTTGGCGTACCAGTAAATTGGCTATTAGATTCATGAGTTGTGGGCAAGGTATGCTTCTAAACTTGCAGAAACAATTTGTGTTCTACTTCACACAAAATATTCGTTCATTGAAGTTGTGTTTTCTTTCTATACCTGTTGAGCTTGCAATTTATAGTATTTGGTTACAATTACTAATAACATATTCCAATTAATAGGACCTGTTGATCCCCAGGTCCCCTTTCCTAAAAAGATTTAGATCGTCCCCTCAAGTAGCATAAGCTTTCTCTTTATGAATTTTTGCATCACCTGTGTTTTTTTATGCTTCTTTACCTTGTTCGCTTCCCCTAAGTATATTCCTTTCTCTTCAGAACACCTCAGCCTTTCTTCAATATTTCCTAGAAAATAAAATTCTATTATACCTTTAATAGTTAATTTGCTTATGCTACTTACTTTTCATGTATTATAACTGACATGCATATGTTAACTCGGGAGGGATTGGATGGATAGTTAGGAGAAAAGAAAGAATATATTTAACTAGTAGGACTCTTGAATAATTAATAGTACAAAGCACAAACCGTAAAAGTTGGCACAAATACAAGTACAAAGAAATAAAGTATGCAAAGGATGTGTCTCTTGGAGTTGAACAACCACTCAACTCATAAGTCGCAACTTTAATTTACTTTGTCTTTTTTATTTTTTATTTTATTTTTCTATTTTATCCGTGGGTTTAATATCTCTTATATTTTAGAGATAATTTTATCTCTTATATGCATATAAAAGTGTGTATGGCTCATATTTTCTTTTTCATTTATGTGTATAGGAGATAATTTTATCTCCCACATGAACATTGATCGCTTTATCTATTATTATGTTATTTATTAGATGAAAAGAATAATCAGAATAGACTCCTGAATCGGAATGAATGTAACCTCAATTTATTTAATTTTGATTACTGTTTAATCAATCTTATGTAGTTATTATTTATTGCTATAATTATTATGTCTATTAATTTAATTAATGTTGATGGCTATTAGGGTTGTTATGTTGATGTAAGAATTCAAGGTTTTTGGATCTCATATTTCAGAAGTATACAGAGTGAGTCAACCTATCTTTTTTCTAATTAGAAATTACATCTTCTACTTGAACTAATATGTGTTAACAATATGTTATAACATTGGAGCAAGTGCTAATGGAGGTTCCTAGTCTTCTGTTTTTCTCTACGTATGCATTACTTGTCTTGTTCTGGGTTGAGATATATCATCAGGTATATTTACTTTCTTTGGGAGAACCACAATATCAGTCATTTTTTATTAATTTAAACTATATTCTGTTCTTGTGCCTCAAATGAATTTCAGGCAAGAAGTGAGCCCATACAGAAACTTAGGCTTGTATATTTTATTGCCAATGGATTTATTTACTTTATACATGTTTGATCTCCTTGTCCACCATTCTAGTCCTTAAAATAGCAAGTTTTCTTAATTTGATGATTTTTTTTAATCTTCTCACCCTGATAATATTAGGCCTGCCTCTAGATTTACATGAGTGTAAGCAGAACAACCACTGGCATAGAAACTGCTAAATCTTCCTTGCAGGTTATTTCTCTCATCAAAAATCATATTTCATCTTGTCCTTGTGTATTTCGTGTTGACATTGTACTGTTTAGAATATTAAAACATATAAAAATGATCTTAAAATTAAAAGCTAGAGAGAATGTGTACAATGAAGTATTTACTACTCGAAAACTTACCATATATAGTTGTTTAGTATTATGAACTTTGTTTTAATGTTCGTTTGCAGTTATATCATTTTGTGCTGCTCTTGGATTTTTGTTGTATGGTGGAAGGTAAGCTATCATCTTTCGGATGGCAACATTCTTTTATGTCATTGAACACTAACTTGCTTGTAAAAATGCAGGTTGTTTTTCCTGTTGAGGCGCTTCCCCGTTGAATCCAGAGGTCGTCAAAAGAAGCTTTATGAGGGAGAGAAACTTAAGGGACATAGAGAATTTAGCAGAAAAGATTGCCAATTTCTTGTTAAGTGAGGCTAAAACATACTGAAAAAAGGATAATACATCTATAATACTTATAGGTCCTATTATATATGTTTTAATTTGGTTTTGGACAAGTTTGACAATAGTTTAATTTATAAGATGATTTTTATAGGACTTGATGATAATATATATTTAACTTTTGGTAGGTCTTTTTAAAACTATTATTTCTTTTCAATTTGTTTTCAATATTATTGCTATTATTGCTAAAATATTCAGAAAATAAATAAAAAATAGCCCTAATTTTTTTTTGGGTACAAAAAATAACCCTATTTCATTGTGGTTAGTAGTAATTTTTTTTAAAAATATCATTAAACTAGCCACGGTTAAACCGTGCTCAACACAAAGAAAACCGTAGCTAAATTAATGCTATCACACTCTAACTAAATGTGGCCAACTAAGACAATAAATGTAGCTAAAATATTGCAACGCCATTATTAGCCACATTCATAGAAAGTGTGGTTGCTTTATTTAGCCACGTTTTTTTACGCTGTTTAGCCACGTTTTTAAATGTGGCTAAACAATTATTTTTTTGTAGTGACATCACATAGTAGGTAATTCATTATGGAAATTAGTTCATCCATAAATTCATGCTTGAGGGAAATTGACATATGGCTACTTGTTTAAATTATAATCACATTCTATTTGTTTATCTAGCTTTTATGCAATTCAAATTAAATTTCTGGTGACAAGAAATCAATGCAATTAAAGAACTTTTGGTTGATTCAACTTAAGTACATATGGTTAATCAGTGCTTGACACAAATCCTCATGGGAACGATCTTTACTCATCATTTTATTACTTTTTTGACTAGTACACTTGCTAAATCTACAACAAGTTTTTGGCGCTGTTACCGGGGATTTGTTCTTCAACATTGACATACACCATTAGTGTTTGAGATTGAATCTTTTATTTTCAGCATTTTATATTTTTGTATGAATTTTTGTTCCATTTTAATTTTGGTGTATGCGAGGTACTATTGATCCAAATTCTTTATTGTTTGACCTAGAATTAGAAAGGACAATCAGAAAGAACAGGAGGGCAGCCAGAAGAAGACAGATACAAGAAAGGGGTGAACCAAGTATAACAGTTCAGGAAGAGATTATGGCAGAGAATCATCTGCAACCACCACAGAGGACACTGGGAGATTATATGACTCCCGTTGTCATTCCACCCATTGGAACTGTGGTTAGACCTACAGTGGAACACAACAATTTCGAATTGAAGCCTGCACTAGTACAGTTGGTGCAGAAGGAACAGTTTGCTGGGACCAGTGCAGAAGATTCGTACCTGCACATTGAGAATTTTTTGTTGTTGAGTGATACTGTGAAAATCAATGGAGTGACCAGAGATGCCATTCTATTGAGGCTTTTTACTCATTCACTGAAGGATGATGCCAGGAGATGGTTACAGTCACTACCACAAGGAAGTATTACAACTTGGGATGATCTGCAGACCAAATTCTTGGCAAGATTCTTTTCAGCATCCAAGAGGGCAGAGTTGAAGGATGAGATCACATGATTCAAGCAAAAAGAGTCACAGTCTATCTATGAGGCCTGGGAGAGGTTCAAGACACTTTTGAGGAAATGTCCACAACATGGTATAGAAGTGTGGAATCAAGCAGCAATATTCTTCCAAGGGTTGACAACCAACACCAGGACATTGGTGAATGCCACAGCTGGTGGTTCATTGACAACCAAAACCCCTCAGGAAGCCCTTGACATCTTTGAGTCCCTAGCATCTTAGGAGTTTGACAATGCTCCGATGAATGACAGAAGAACATGAATTATTAAGCTTGATGGCTATGATGCTTTGTTAGCCAAGAACGATCAGATGCAGCAAGTGCAGAAACAACAACAACAACAACAACAACAACAACTAGATGCTCTCACCAAGCAGCTTTCTTCTCATAAGGTTGCTTCCGTGGACACTAATTCTGTGTGTGCCATTTGTGGGAAAAGCCATGTTACTGATGAGTGTGATTATGGAGGACCTGCTGAACAAGTAGAGGTTAATGGAGTATGGTATGATCAGAGTAACTACAACAAATAGGGGCGAAATGTTTATGTTCCACCATGGAAGAATAAGAATCAACACCCAGGGTTCAGTTACAGTTCCAACCATCAGTGGAATGCTCCACTACATCCTCCTCCAACACACTCATCACAACAAGGTGATACTACTGCATGGGAGAAAGCTTTTGCCCAGTTATCAAAGACTACTCAAGATTATATTCACGGGTCAAATTCTTTCAGGGAAGAAATTTCTGCTTTCATGCAAGAGACCAAGGCAGCATTCAGGAACCAGGAAGCATCCATCCGGAATTTGGAGACACAAATTGGCTAGTTGTCTAGACAGATATCTGAGAGGCCACAGGGAAAGTTCCCTGGTGATACCATGGTGAATCCAAAGGAGCACTGTAAGTCCATAACTACAAGAAGTGGACTTGTGCTTCAACCGGTTAATAAGAAAGTGGAAGAGAAGAAAGTGGGAGAAAAGGAAAATGAGGAGGAAGTTGTTGTTGAAGATGTTGTAGTTGAAAAAAGTGAAAAAGAGAAGGTTGAGGAAAAGAAGAAAGAAGAAGAGGTAGTGGTTGAAAAAAGTTCTTCACCCAAGAAGTTGATGAAGTGGGAGAAGAAGAAGATGGCTGACAAGCAGGACCAGCCTATCAACCTATCTCCATATGCTAAAGTGCCTTATCCTCAACGATTGAAGCAGGAAATCCAGAAGCAGCACTATGCAAGGTTTTTGGATATTTTTAAGAAGTTGCAGATTAACATTCCGTTTGCTGAGGCCTTGGAGAACATGTCTCACTATGCCAAATTCATGAAGGATCTTCTGTCTAAGAAGAGGAAACTGAAGGATGGTGAGACTGTGGCCTTAACAGAAGAGTGTAGTGCCCTGATCCAAAAGAAGCTTCCTCCAAAGTTAAAAGACCCAGGAAGTTTCAGCATTCCTATTGCCATTGGAAATGTGGAAGTAGGGAAGGAACTTTGTGATTTAGGGGTCAGCATAAACTTGATGCCATTGACCGTACGTAGAGCTTTGGGAATCAACACATTGAAGGATACCAATCTTATTCAGCATCTAGCAGATAGATCCATCAAGAGACCAGAAGGGGTGCTAGAAGATGTTCTGGTTAAGGTGGATAAGTTCATTTTTCCAGTTGACTTTGTGATTCTTGATATGGAAAAGGAAGATACTGAAAGCCCTCTACTTCTAGGGAGGCCATTTTTAGCAACTGCTAGATCCCTGATTGATGTTGAACAAGGGAAACCAATGCTAAGGGTGAATGAAGAGATAGTTACAATTGATGTGTTTGAAGCCATCAAACATCCTGTTGATGTGGATGATTGTTTTAGGATTGATGTCATTCAGGAGGTTGTGGAAGAAGTGACAGGAGAAGAGGACCTGTTATTAGAGGAAGACAAATGTAAAGATGAGATGAGTGGGGAATATTATCAGGAGGAACCAGTAGTTGAAGAGTTGATGATTGTGGTATGCAGCGTGTGTTTAACACATGACCATTTTAGTAGACCAACAAATTACTCGCAAAATAAAATAATTCTCTTAGGAAATTTTCTTAATTATTTTTCTAGATTTTAAATCATCCAAATAGCTGATTTAATTATTAATCTAGATTGCAACAATCATAATAATTATCATTTATGAGGATAATTTGAAATCAAAATAATTCTCATAACGATTATTTGCCTTGATGTTAATTATCCAAAATTAATTAATTCAATTATTAATCCAGATTTTTAACAAAAATCATAATAATTATTAATTAATTTTTTTTAGGATAATTTAAAATCCAAATAATCTTATAATAACTATCATACTAGTCGCTGAAGACATAATAGCTACTATGCTCATGTAATCATACAAGTTATGCAACAATATGGCACCACATATTCTATATGTCATGTTATCGCAATAAAGCATGTTATCAATCATATAAATCATCCAATCATACATTTAAGGCGATTAATTATAATATAAACCTTAATCCATGGTTTCCTAAAAAAGAAAAATACAAAGTAATCAAATAGGAAACTTTTGCGGCTGATTTGCTCCTTTCCTTATAGTCCATAGTTTCTGTTTCAAGCCTCTTTATGGTAACCATGGGCCCAAAGGCCCAAGATACGAAATTTTGGTGAGAAACTGTGACACCCCGTGTTAACCCGATTTGTTAACATGTCATCGTATTAAGCCACACTTAATATAAAAATGCGGAATAACTTTTTACCTTCAATTATGACGTCATTATACTTAGCCAAGTTGATTATTAAAATCCAATTACAAAATATCGCCTGTATGTGATTGTAATCCAACAACTAACTGAAATACCTCATATCATAGATGTGAGTATCTAAGTCACGAAACTACAACACGTAGTTCAGACAATATCCTGATACATTATTAATTACAACTTGAAACTACTAAAACATAAAGTCAAGTCAATGTGGCATGGACAATCCCCATGCTCACCAAATAAGGCAATAGCGCCCAAGAGTAGTCTCAATCAAATAATATAACAGTAAAGATAAAGCAATGTCAGCATCCAGCAAAATCATCATAATAGCATTCAATCAGCTAAGCTTCGGCCTCCTGGCGCTAGAGGTCTCAACTCCCACATTACCTGAACCTGAAATGGTGCCCCAAACGTGGGGCGAGATCTCTAAACAGAAATCTCAGTAAGACAAGGGGTCCTCAAGGATCTTCCACCCCAAGCTCACTTGCATGTGCAATATAAGTTCTAAAAGCAGTAATTCAATATCAGTTCCAAAATCAGTGGAATGCAGCAATATTCATGTCATGTGTGTTATAACTATTCTACTGATCAGAGAAATACAGGAAAACGTCTATTACCCACATAAGTACACGCCCATGCTGTACCCGCCCACAAGACCACCCCATGGCTTCTTGTCTAAGAGAAACACCACATACATATCACATCGCATTTGCACTTAACAATTCAATAGAATTTCAGCAAAACAATACATGAAAACACATCATGCATATAACAATCCCCCCATGGGACATGGTGGAACAAACAACAGCTAAACCGAGGACACAAAAGCTTACCTTGCAAGCTAGCTATCCAAGCCAAGAGTCCACACAAGCTCAAGGTCCATACACAGCACAATCACAATCTGTTAGGACCAATAACAACATCAATATTTATACGCTACAAGCATACGATATAAAGACAACGTCTTTCCTTTGCGTTCCAAGTCTTAAGGCTTCTCACAAAGCCACAAGCCCTTAATCCATTGATTCTGACTTAACTTAATCATTACAGAAGTTCAACTTCCACAATCTAGGGTCCACAAACCCATAACTCAGTTATGTATGAACAGTACCGTTACTGTTCTTCGAAAACCCAGAATAATTGGATATTTGTCGGGGGCATATCCGGATATCAATATCTGGATATCTGTCTTGCAATATTCGGATATTCAGAACTCCATATCCGGATATTTCTAACCCAATATCCGGATATCTCTAACCCAATATCCGGATATTTCGCGGCAGAACCCAGATTCTGCATTTCGCGAGATATCAATCCAAAGGTGGTTCATTTCACGATTACAGAAGCTTAAACATGCATTTCTAGGTGTGTTTAACTTTACCCAACCTTAAGTTATCAACTTTAATCCATTACATGCATCTAGGCTTCATTTTTAACTAAGGAAACTCATGTTCAAGGTTGATGACACTTACCCAAGCTTAAAACAGAGCAACAGTGGCTCTTGGATCTCACCACACTGCCTCTACAGTTCTGACTTCACAAAGGCACGAAAATACCAAGCAAGCAAGGTCTTTTCTTCACAAATATTGCTTCTTGCAGTACCAACCACCAAGAAAATGGCTTCCACAACCCAAGCAAGGGAACTCAGCCCCAAAAGCCTCCTAAGACAGTGCTCACAACTCAGAAAGATAAAGGCTTTCACCCTCCAAATACACACCTCTAAGTGTTTACAAGGCTTAAAGAGAAGAATCCATGGTAAATGAGGTGACTTGGGAGAGTTTTCATGCAAGAGAGCCAAAGGAAGAAGGTGGCAGCTCACACTCAACAAATTCTCACGTAGAGAATGTTAAGTTTCTGACCTAGAAACTTGTGCACACCTATATATAGTTTAATTAGTTTTAATCACATAGTATTAGTGCTAAATTCTACGCCTAGCATTTTAATCCCAAACTTAGGATTATGAACCTACTCATTTTTCTAAGATTTATCATATTTTTATTTTATTTTTCGCAACACCTTTTTGGTACGCGATTTTCCATAGCCAGTATCTGATCTGGCACCAGTTCTCGTTATTTTGACTTAAAACTTGTTTTTACAAGTCCTATATATCATTCTAGTAATATTCTCACACTTATTATAATTTTCTGGGATACTTCATCGGTACGCATTTATACCGAGTAGCAGAACCGGTATCTGCACTTTTCGTCAGAAAAGCGACTTTCAGCATTATTAATCACTTACCAATATTATTTAAGCCTCATAATAATTATTAGGGTCAATTATGGAATTATTTCCTAATTTCACATAATTAATTAATTAACTTCATTAATTAACAGTGCGGGTTCTTACATTCACCCTACCTTTTTAAGGATTTTGTCCTCAAAATCAGAAATATACCTGTCTCTGAAGTCGGGTTACTGCCGGAGAAGCTCGTCCTCTCGCTCCCAAGTGCACTCCTCAGGAGTTCTCCTAGTCCACTGCACCTTGACCATCAGAATGATCTTGCTCCTCAGCTGCTTCTCGCCTCGATCGAGAATCTTGAGTGGTTCGACGGGAGTCTTTAGGTTCTCCTGAACCTCCACATCATCCGGTTGCACCACGTGCGAATGATCTGCTATGTACTTCCGAAGCTGAGACACTTGAAACACGTCGTGGATGTTGGCCAAGTTCGGAGGCAAGGCAAGCCGGTAGGCAACAGGTCTTACTCTACCAATGATCTGGTAGGGCCCAATGAATCGCGGGCTCAGCTTCCTCACTTCGAGTGCCCGACCAACACCGGTGACAGGTGAAAGTCTCACAAACACGTGCTCACCCTCACTGAACTCCAGTGGACGATGCTTACCATCATAATAGCTCTTCTGGTGTTTCTGCGCCTGCTTCTGCTTCTCTCTGATCAACTGGATCTGCTGGGTAGTATCTTGGACAAAGTCCAAGCAAAAAAACTCCTTATCTCCAACCTCAGACCAGCAGGTAGGAGTCCGACACCTCCTGCCGTACAACGCCTCGTAGGGTGCCATGCCCAGGCTAGCATAGAAACTGTTGTTGTACGAAAATTCAACCAATGGCAGGTACCTATCCCATGCTGAACCTTGCTCCAAAGTGCAAGCCCTCAACATGTCCTCCAATGTCTGGATGGTCCGCTCAGTCTGTCCGTCAGTCTGAGGGTGATAGGCTGTACTCAGTCTCAACTGCGTACCAAAATCCTCCTGCAGTGCCTCGCAGAACCGAGATGTGAACTTCGGGTCCCTATCACTAATAATACTCTCGGGTACCGCGTGAAGTCTCACAATCTCACGAACATATAGTCTGGCCAACTTCTCAGTAGTAAAGCTCACCTTCACCGGAAGAAAGTGGGCAGACTTAGTCAATCTGTCCACAATGACCCAGATAGAGTCATAACCAGCCTGAGTATTCGGTAATCCCACCACGGAGTCCATGGAAATGCTATCCCATTTCCATTCCGGAATCTCAAGAGGTTGAAGTTTACCAGACGGCTTCTGGTGTTCTATCTTCACCTTCTGGAAAATCAGGCACTTAGACACAAACACATATATGTCCTTCTTCATGCCCGGCCACCAGTAGTTTCTCTTCAAATCCTGATACATCTTTGTAGTACCAGGGTGAACATTTAATTGGCCTTTTGAGCCTCTGTCATCACCTCAACAGTCAAAGGACCTCGAGGAACCACATTCCTCTTCTGGAAGGTCAATAATCCGTCGTCATTCCAAGACACACCGTCTTGGTTCTTCACGTTATCAAGGCACTCTCTCTGCACTTGCGCCTCTTTAATCTTCTCCATGAGCTCGTTCTCAAATTGCACGGTTTTTATTTCTAGAAGTGCACCTCCAAACAAAGAGGTCACCATCAGATCTCGAAATTGTTCGATGATATCATAATCACCCATGGTCAAATTGGATAGACTCACGGATTTCTGACTCAAAGCATCCGCTACCACATTGGCCTTGCCAGGATAGTACTCCAACTCGAAGTCGTAGTCCTTCAGATACTCCATCAATCTCCTCTGCCTCATGTTCAGCTCCTTCTGATCAAACAGGTACTTCAAACTCTTGTGATCACTGAACACAGAAAACTTCATGCCATAGAGATGATGCCTCCAAATCTTGAAAGCAAACACAATAGCAGCCAACTCCAAATTATGAGTCAGGTAGTTCTCCTCATGAGGCTTCAACTGCCTCGAAGCATAGGCAATCACCTTGCCCAACTGCATCAACACACATCCGAGCCCCTTTCTAGAGGCGTCGATGTACAACTCAACTTCCTCAGCAGGATCAGGAAGGACCAACACAGGTGCGGTAGTCAGTCTCTCCTTTAACTCCTGGAAACATTCCTCACACTCGTGAGTCCACACAAATGGAGTCTCCTTGCGAGTAAGGCGAGTCAATGGCAGAACCAGCATGGAAAATCCCTTGATGAACCTCCGGTAGTACCCTGCCAAACCCAGAAAACTCCTCACTTCGGTTATCATCTTGGGCCTCTCCCAATCTAGCATGACCTCAATCTTGTTAGGATCCACTGCGACTCCTCTGCAGAAATCATATGTCCCAAAAACTTTACGGACTTGAGCCAAAACTCACATTTGGAAGGCTTAGCATAAAGTTTTTTCTCCTTCAGCACTTGCAACACAATCTTCAAGTGCTCAGCATGTTCCTCCTCAGTCTTGGAGTAAATCAATATGTCATCAATGAAGACGATCACAAACTGATCCAGGTGCGGCTGGAAAATCCTGTTCATGTAATCCATGAACACTGCTGGTGCATTGGCGAGTCAAAAAGCAATCACCAAATACTCAAAGTGACCGTATCTCGAACGACACGCGGTCTTCGGGACATCCTCCGACTTCACCCGAATCTGATGGTATCCGGACTGGAGATCGATCTTCGAATACACACAAGCACCCTTCAATTGATCCAACAGATCATCAATGCCCGGAAGGAGATACTTGTTCTTGATTGTCACCTTGTTTAACTGCCTGTAGTCGGTGCACAATCGCATAGTCCCACCTTTCTTCTTCACAAAAATGACCGGTGCTCCCCATGAAGACACACTCGGTCGAATGAAGCCTTTCCCCGAAAGGTCCTCAATGTGCTTCTTCAGCTCCGCCAACTCTGGTGGCGACATCCGATATGGAGCCAAAGAAACGGGCCCCACACCAGGCAATAAGTTAATGGAGAACTCTATCTCCCTCTGCGGCGGAAACTCAGGGATGTCCTCAGGAAATACCTCGAGGAATTCCCTCACCACAGGAATGCTAGTGATATCCTCCTGTGCCCCACTTACCAAACCTCCCAACATGACATATCTGAATGCCCCTGCCCTCAAGGCTCTCCTAGCCTACAGTAATGATATATAAGGTGAGGAACTGGATGTGGAGTCACACGGAGACATCACCACACGCTTGGCACAATAATCGATCATCACACAATTTCTGGACAACCAATCCATGCCCAGAATAATCTCTAAATTGGCCATCGGCAATCCTATCAGATCTACCGAGAACTCACAACCATCCCACTGAAACGCTACATCACGATGAACAGTGGTAGAATCACATTTTTCTCCGGTGGCGGTAGTCACCTGCAACGGTGGAGAAAGCACAGACATGGGCAACTCAAGCCCCACAGCAATCGGGGTAGCTATGAAGGTATGCGTAGCCCCGGAGTCAAACAATACATCAACAGAAAATCCACCGATGGAAACAGTACCTCTGACAAGGTTCGGAGCTCAGTCCGACTGTTGCCGATCCAAAGTGTAAATTCGCCCCGTGGCAGGTGGCACAACAGGTGCCGCAGTAGGTGGAAGGGGAACCATCTGTAATGGAACTGTTCGAACTGCTGCAGCTCTCGCCGTCGACGATGGACACTCTCTAGCATAGTGGCCCTCCTTGCCACACTGGAAACATATAGTCTGGCCTGTAGCACACGGCCCCAGATGAACCTTCCCACATCCCGAGCATCTGGGAGTAGGAGGTCTCGATGTACTCCCCTGAGCAGAAGTCCTCTTAAACTAATTTGGCGCTTGCCTAGCCGCCAACTGCTTCCCCTTGCCATTCCCGGCAAACTTCCTGTCTCTCCAAGAAGTGGAACTACCAATTCCCTTCGTCTCAGCAATCTTTGCCCTCTTGGCCTTACTCGTAATGCAGACATCCTCAATGTCCTTACACTGTTGTACCAGTGTACCAAAATCTCTCGATGCAGCTCCAGCAATATGCTCTGCAATCACCTCACTAAGTTCCTTGCGGAACTTAGCAGCCAAAAAGGTTAGAGTGGGCACCGCCATCTGAAAGTGGGCGAACTTCACTAGCTCATTAAACTTGGCCAGGTACTCGTTAACAAACATTGAGCCCTGCACCAATCTATCAAACTCCCCCTGCTTCCTCTCCTGCGCATCATAAGGGAAGTATATGCCCAAAAAGAAGTCCTCGAAGAATGACCATGTCATAAC